TTGGTGAGGACACAAGAGAGAGCCTTCTCAGTGGCTGCTCCCACCCTCAGGAACCCCTTTTCATGGGAGGCTAAACTGACTCCACTTTCCTTTTGCCAACAGGCAAAGACATTTTTATTCAAGCAGGCTTTTAATACATAATCATGCCAGGGAGGCTTTTATATGGGTTGTGCACTTTAATCATGTTTTTAACTTTTCTATGTTTATAATATTGTATACTGTTTTTAGTTGGTTATTTTGAATGTGTGGTTTTTTTAACTGTAAATTTTTTAAATGGTTTTATTTGCTAGACACCTTGGGTTCCTTTCTGGGAGAAAGGCAGCATAGAAATGAAATAAATAAACAGTTGTGTAAATGTATTTATATTTTGAAGCTCTTTCCTTGGTATTTATTTTTCTTTTATTTGTTTTTACTTATTTTTTCTTCATTTCAGTGTCTTCATCAGAAAAGATTCCTCCTCTCACTTGGCCAAAAATACTTTCTGAAACATTTGGGTTCAGTTCAATTTGTATCCTTATCAGTAATTCATTTGGGCATTACTTGTCTTTATGCCTCTGATTTCTTGGTTCACTTCTTTTAACTTTATATTTACTGATATTGATTAATTTACAATCTAATATAACCTTATTTTTCCTCATCACAAAGCAACTGATGATATATTCAAATAGCAATCTGAAACTATAAAATCTACTCTGTAAAATAAATTGATATTTCAGAATGTACACTAGTAAAGGGGAAAAAAAAGTATTTTTGGCATCCATTCTGGTAGGAAGAGAGGAATATCTCAGAAAAGCAGTTATTTCAGAACTCAGAGTGAAGAATAACAAACAACTTCAATATTGGCTTTCTAACCTTGTAATGAAGGTAACTTTAAAGTGGATAATGAAAATATTGAAGCAGTTAAAGATTTTCTAGACCTCAGCTCAGTTCTTAAAAGGAGACTATCGTAAAGAAATAAGAGGAGGACATAAGATCTGGAAGGGCAGTTATAGAGGAATTAAATAAGATCCTCAAGTGTAAAGATACCACTAAATACTGAAGTTGGAATCATACAATTTCCAATTTCTATGCATGGTCATGAACGCTGGACAGTTAAGAAAGCTGACAGGAAGAGAATTAACTCATTCAAAATGTGGTGCAGGAGGAGAGCTGTACAGATGTCATGAATTGGCAAAATGACCAATAAATGCATCTTAGAGCAAATCAGGACTGAATTCTCACTAGACACCAAGATGACGAAACTCAGGCTATCATACTTTGGCATGTCATGAGATGACATGATCCATTGGAAAAGACAATAATGTTTGTTAAAGTGAAAGGTAGTGGGAAAAGAGGGAGATTGTAGTACAGATGGATGGATTCAATCAAGGAAGCCACAGCCCCGAGTTTACAAAACCTGAGCAGGGCAATTGATGACTGCCCTGTCAGCAACTCTTGGACGTCTTTCATTCATATGTTCTCCATAGGCTGAGGCCAATCTGGTGGCAGATAATAAAATAACAAGTGAAAGTCCACAGAACAATTTCTGACCTGATCAATGTAACTGGTACAGAGCAGAGAAACAGTTACTAAAACAAATAAATATTGGTCTCCATGAAGATCAGAAGAAGTATTTGTTTCTGGTGAAAGATTTGTTCATTACAGATTTGCTTCTCAATTTATATTGATGCCCAACCCCAGAAATAATGAGACAAGACACAAAGATTGGGATGGAAAAAGGGCCATTTATTACTTGAACTATTTATTAATTTATTAATGGAACTGCAACTAATCAGGAGATCAGCCAAGTGTGGGAGCAGCTGCAGCCAGTGTCTTTCCCTAGACCACCTCTGCAACTTCCCTTGGATGATAACACCTGACCCTCAACAATAACCCAAAACCTGGATTATTCGCTGGCCGGCCTGGACCAGGAAGTCCAACCAGAAAGTCCCTCTCCCAATGTGCAAGGATTAAAGAGGGGGTTTACTTTCAGGCCAGACCCAAGGACAATTTCTTCCTTCCACCTCCCAGGTTGCGAGGCTTAAAGAGGTGGTTCCAGAAATGTCCCTTCCACCCAAATGGCATCCAAGGTGCTTGCTGAATTATAACTCTCATTTATTCCTGCCATAGATATATCTATCTCCCACCCAGGCATCAAGCACACCCTTAACACCTTGCTGCAGCTCTGTTAAGAAAATTGCATTACCTGTTTCCAAGAAATGAACACCATAGCTCTGTAGAGCTTTGGCTTTTGAAAAACAATCTGGGGATGGGATAAATAGTGATCCAATCCTGCATCGAAAGCCTTTCAGATTTTGCTGTTAGACCATTATCAGGTTGTAACAATGACTATGGGATCACCACCACACTTCCATTCAAGGCACGCCAGCATGGCTGACCAACAAATTTGAACCAGTAGCCACAACTTCTTGTTAAAATCAAATTAATGAAGCACTTGCAAAATAAGCCTCTTTCCTTTTAACAGTCCCAGATCATTAACAGCCTCTTTCCTTTTAACAGTCCCAGATCCCCAAGGTGAACCTGCAGCAAGTGGGGAGGAGGCCCTTGGCAATCCTTAAATCAGAGGTAGGCAACCTTTCCCCTTTAAGGGCCGAGGGACTTCAGCTTCCAGAATCCCAGGAGCTATTGGCCAACATGGGACTATTGGCCAACATGGGTGAGGCTTCTGGGAGCTGAAGTCCCTCGGCCCTTAAAGGGGAAAGGTTGCCTACCCCTGCCTTAAATAATAATGGCAAAAGGTCATGCCAATGGAGACCCCACCTTCCCATCCAATAGAAACAGGCCACATCATCAAGGCCCAAGTGGGTACTGAAGTGGCTTGTCCTGGCTTGCCAGGCCGCCCAGTAGATCATGCTGTGGCTACATAGTAGTACTTGACACCTCTCCAGCCAGGAACTGAGATTGAAAAAAACAAAGAAAATAAATTAATAAACTAGCCTCCTGACATATTTGTGGTATGCCAAGGAATTCCATTGCCCACTCTTCTTGATGACATGTGGTTCAAAACCCATGGAAGCAGCTGTAGAAGCCACCCCAATCCTAAAGGAATGGGTAGCAAAGCGGACATTTACTAGACCCAAGACAGACAAGGCCCTGGAAGTAATAGCTCAGAATTGATGTTTAGTTAAAGGGGAAAGATCCTGATGAACAAACAGGGGCCCAGGACTGGGTCCCCTGGCTTATATATAATTATGCATGGCCTGAACAGGACAAATAGGCATATCTGAATAAAGCTGTAGAGAAAGCTGAGTGCCCTTATTATGCTGGTCAGTTTTTGATTATCTAATTGACAGAACAACAGACCGTTCAGAAAAACGTAAATCACCATATTGTAAGGCAGGGGTAGGCAACCTTTCCCCTTTAAGGGCCAAGGGACTTCAGCTCCCAGAAGCCTCAGTCATGTTGGCCAATAGTCCCATGTTGGCCAATAGCTCCTGGGATTCTGGTAGTTGAAGTCCCTTGGCCCTTAAAGGGGAAAGGTTGCCTACCCCTGTTGTAAGGCTTTACAGAAAGTATCACGCTTAGACGCTAAAACTAATTCACTGATTTGCAGCACTCCAAAAAAGGCTGTTAAAGCTGCTGAATGAAATAATAAGGCCTCATATAGCAATATGCTGATATCAGCCCATGCTTCTCTTCAACCTTTTACTATTTCTGGGAATAAGGGCATCCTATCATCTAAAATTTGACCTCTCTCCCTAGTCTAACCTTCTAGGACCTTTCTAACCTGAAAGTCAC